CACACCTACTACATAAGGCCACTCTACTAAGACCGGAAGACATAGCAGCTCTACCTAATACATAGAAACAAAACAGGGAGGCAGCCAAAATGGGGAGACAAAGAAATGTGTCCCAAATAAAAGAACAGAAAAAAGCTCCAGAAAAAGAACTAAGCGAAACAGAGATAAGCAATCTATCAGAAGCAGAGTTCCAAACACTGGTTATAAGAATGCTCAATGATCTCAGGGAGAACTTCAACAGAGAGATGAAAACCATAAAAAAGAACCAGTCAGAAATAAAGGATACAATAACAGAAATGAAGAATATATTATAGGGAATCAACAGATTAGATAAAGCAGAGGATCCAACCAGCGATGAAGAAGATAAGGTAGCAGAAAACACCCAACTAGAACGGCAAAAAGAAAAAAGAATCCAAAAAATTGAGGAGAATTTAAGGGGCTTCTGGGACAATATCAAGCATAACAACATTCACATTATAGGAGTACCTGAAGGAGAAGAGAGAGAGAGCAAGGAATTGAAAATCTATTTGAAGAAATAATGACAGAAAACTTCCCTAACCTGGTGAAGGAAATAGACATGCAAGCCCAGGAAGTACAGAGAATCCCAAACAAGATAAACCCAAAGAGGCCAACACCAAGACACATCATAATTAAAATGCTAAAGATTAAATACAACGAGAGAATCTTAAAAGCAGCAAGAGAAAAGCAGTTAGTTACCTATAAGGGAGCCCCATACGACTGTCAGCTGATTTCTCAACAGAAACTTTGCAGGCAAGAAGGGAGTGGCAGGGAATATCCCAAGTGATGAAAAGCAAGACATACAACCAAGATTGCTCTACCCAGCAAGGCTGTCATTTAGAATTGAAGGACAGATAAGGAGCTTCCTAGACAAGAAAAAGCTGAAGGTGTTCATCACCACCAAACCAGTACTACAAGGAATCTTAGAGGGAGTTCTTAGATGGGAGGGGAATAAAAGATGGGTGAAAGAGGAAGGGATTGAGAAGTACAAATCGGTTCTTATACAGTAGTAATGGGGATGTATGGTATAGCATAAGGAATATAGTCAATAATATTGTAATAACTAGGTATGGTACCAGATAGGTACAGTTAGGTTGGTACAAATGTAATTCGGTTTTTGCATTGTTGAAATTTGCCTTTGATATTGGAATATATTCTTAAATAAATGTGGTTGTTATACATCATTTGTTTGTTTGTTTGTTTGTTTGTTTGTTTGTTTGTTTTAGCTGAGCCATCCTGCTACCTGTTGGCAGCTCAGCGGCTGCTCAGCTCGGGCTGGACTTGAACCGCTGTTGCTCAGAGCTCAAACTCTTGAGCGAGCTCTTAACCAACTGAGCCACTCAGCCGGCCCTGTTATACATCATTTTAATGCACATTTTTTAATTTATGTTTTTCTTGCTTTATGTTTATGTAATAATGACTTATTACTTGCTGTTTATTTTATCTGTATTTTATACTATGGAAATGATGTTAGACAAAAAGCAAATTCGAGCGATTTTCTTAATCAGGTTCAAAATGGGCTGTAAAGCAGTGGAGACAACTCTCAACATCAACAATGCTATTGACCCAGGAACTGCTAACGAATGTACAGTGCAGTGGTGGTTCAAGAAGTTTTGCAAAGGAGACAAGAGCATTGAAGATGAGGAGTGTAGTGGCAGCCATCGGAAGTTCACAACGACCCATTCAGAGCAATCAATGAAGCTGATCCTCTTACAACTACACGAGAAAGTTGCTGAAGAATTCAACGTTGACCATCCTATGGTCATTCAGCATTTGAAGCAAATTGGAAAGGTGAAAAAGCTCGATAAGTGGGTGCCTCATGAGCTGACCCCAAATTAAAAACACTGTCATTTTGAAGTGTCGTCTTCTCTTATTCTATGCAACAACAACAAACCACTTCTCGATTGGATTGTGATGTGCGATGAAAAGTGGATCGTATACAACTGGTGACTATCAGCTCAGTGGTAGGGCCTAGAAGAATCTCCAAAGCACTTTTCAAAGCCAAACTTGCACCAAAACAGGTCATGGTCGCTGTTTGGTGGTCTGCTGCTGGTCTGATCCCTATAGTTTTCTGAATCCCAGTGAAACCATTACATCTGAGAAGTATGCTCAGCAAATCGATGAGATGCACCAAAACCTGCAAGGTCTGAGGCCGGCATTGGTCAACAGAAAGGGCCCAATTCTTCTCCACGACAATACCTGACACACTTCCACAACCAGCTGGAATACAGAAAATAGTTTCCAAGAGCTCATTGAATCCCGAAGCACAGGTTTTTATGCTACAGGAATAAACAAACTTATTTCTCATTGGCAAAAATGTGTTGATTGTAATGGTTCCTATTTTGATTAGTAAAGATGTGTTTGAGCCTAGTTATAATTCATTGTCTGAAACTGCAATAGATCTATCAGGAAGATAGGTGGGAATGGGGTTGGGGGCAGGGTGAAAAGGTGAAACCATTAAGAAATACAAATTGGGGGCCGGCCGAGTGGCGCGTTGGTTAAGAACTGGCCTGGGATGCCAGAGGGCCCCAGTTCGGATCCCACATATGAGGGCCAGTGACACTGCCCTCTATAGCTACGATGCTGAACAACAGCTCAACCTGGAGCTGGGCTGCCGTGAGTCACCAACGACGGCATAGGCTGTGGCCCCTGCTGCAGTGGGTTTCCATGGGCTACTGTGTGTAGCCAGCAGCCAGCATGAGCGGCCAGCAGCCGCAGTGAGCAGCTGTCCAGAAGCTGGTGACTGATCTGCCTCACCTGGGAAGAGTGCAATGATGGTGCCAACATAGGCCAGTGAAGCAATGTCCTCCACAACTAGACTGAAGAACAAAAGGACAGCAACTTGTCTGTTCCCCTTCCCCCAATTCCCCAGCACTGTTCCCATTCCCCAATACCCCAATAAAAATCTTAAAAAAAAAAGAAATACAAATTGGTAGTTTATGCAATATGAGGAATATAATCAACAATGTTGTAAAGATCATGTAAGGTGCCAGATGGGCGCTGGACTTATCAGGGGCATCACTTCATAGACTGTGTAGATGCCTGACCAATGCGCTATACACCTGAAGCTGAAGTAGAATAATATTGAATGTTAACTATAACTAAATACATAGGTGTATACAGCCATGGGATGTGGAGTACAACATAGGGAAAATAGTCAATGGTATTGTAACAGCTACATGTTACATGTCAGAGGGGTAGTATCTTGTGGGGTGGGTTATCGCTTTATGAAGGGTTTAAATGTCTAAATGTTATGTTGCTTTGTACACCTGAAAGTAATAAAAAAATAAATACAAAAAGAACCAAATGAATTACAGAGTGTGACCAATGCTTTTGAAGTTATTATAATAACCAGAGTTGTAAGAGAGGATAAGGAAGTACAGTGGAGAATTCAATAGATAAACTGTTCAAGGAGGCACTTTCTGATGAGCTATAATTTAAGCGGAGTCCTGAAGGCTGAGAAGTGCTCATCATGCTGAGTGTGGGCTTAAGGGGAGCATGTGCAAAGATCCCAAGGGGAAAAGAGCTTGAAGTGTTCTAAGAACTATCAGAAGGTCAGTGTGGCTGGAGTGCAGTGGCACATAATGAGCTTACAGGTAGGCAGTGACAACCAACATGCTTGTCCTCATAGTCATGATAAGGGGTCTGGATTTTATTCTAACTACAAAGGGAAAATATCATTATTAACTTATTTACTGATGAATAAGGAAATAGAATTGTCTTTGACACATCAATTAAAGCAGGGCACATTAATGGTCATTCAGAAATTAATGTCATTTCTTTAAAGACAGCGCCACTTTGGTAAAATTAGGAATCTGTAGCATTTAAAAAATAATTCTTGTTTAAAATAGTGGCCATGTCTAGTAAATTTGAAATAAAACATTAAGGTATCCTCTGAAAATAAAACATTAACGTATTCTCTGAGTATTGAAAAGACAATCAATTAAGAAAACAAAGATAAATTTCCTCACAATCTTACAATCACGAAACAAATGTTTCTATTAGCTATTAGCTTTATTAGGTTTTGCAATGATGTAGATAACAGGAAAAAATACATAATTTAGGGATCTGAAAAGGTATCCTCTTTGAGGGACCAGGAAAATTTTCTTTTCAATATTGTGCCACCTTGATTCTCCAAGGTAACCATAAGATTATGGTTGATTATCCCATGTATTGTTAATTTGATGATTAGTTTTTTCCTAATTTTTTTATTGAAAATAATTTCAAACTTACAAAATTTTGCAAGAATAAAACAGTACAAGCGACATATACTCTTTATTCAGATTCATTTTATCCCCATTTGCTTTATCATATGCTTGCATGCTCTTCTCTCTCTCTTCTCCCCTACCCCCTGCCCATCTGCCCGCCCACCCTCTCTCCCTCTTTCTTTTTCTCTTCCTCACTCTATCTCTCCATAATTCTTTTTCCTCAACCATTTGAAGGTAAGTTATATACATAATGATTACATTTTTTTTTTTAAGATTTTATTGGGGAATTGGGGGAGGGGAACAGACAAGTTGCTGTTGTTTTGTTCTTCAGTCTAGTTGTGAAGGATGTTGCTTCACTGGCCCAAGCTGGCACCATCATTGCACTCTTCCCGGGTGAGGCAGATCAGTCGCCGGCCTCTGGACGGCTGCTCACGGCAGCTGCTGGCCGCTCACGCTGGCTGCTGGCTACATACGGTAGCCCATGGCAACCCACTGCAGCAGGGGACTGCAGTCTACGCCGTCGCTGGCGACCCACGGCAGCCCAGCTCCAGGTCAAGCTGTTGTTCAGCATCTTAGCTATAGAGGGCAGTGTCACTGGCCCTCATATGTGGGATCCGAACCGGGGCCCTCTGGCATCCCAAGCCAGTTCTTAACCAATGCGCCACTCGGCCAGCCCATGATTAAATTTTTTAATAGCTGAGCAAAGCAAGCAAGAATGTTATGGTTTTGTTCAGTGCCTAGACTTAAGCCAACTCATTCTGTCACTGCACTTACCATCTTCTGGAGCAGTCTTATATTCTTTGTCTTCCATCACTTCATAGTCAAACCCCAGGAGATCAATGGGGATGGTGTATTTCCTGGCGTAGTTCTGCTGGGCACCAGTCAGGAAGGCTTGTGTGAAGAAGAACCCAGACAGCCAGAAGACTGGAGGAGGGCCGACCTCGTACCATTGCTATGGTGTCAAAGCACAAGTGTCCTATCAATCGAGTCTTTCCACTTTGATTGCAACACAGCTGGATAAAATCTGCCCCCAAACACTCCCTCTATTTTCATTTCAGTAAACTAAAAACTGAGCTAATGCTTTGAGGAATATAAAGCCATACTCTGAAGGTTTTAAAAATAAGTAGCATATTCAGCGTTTGTTCTGACTTCAATTTCATATCCTTAGGACCAGCTTGGGTATCACAATGCGCATGATGAAAATGCCTGTTTTATACATACCTGGTGATTCCTTCAGAAAAGCTCCATACAATAGTGAATATCTAATATACATTGTTGTATAATGTATCATGTTATATAGTTGAATAGAACACAGGATCTCGCCAGATGGTAGGTAATGTTTTTTCACTTTTTTTCTCTCTAGTTATTAGCACCTAGTACAATATTCTTTTGGAAGTTTTCCCTTCTACTTCATCAAAACACAATGAAATCCAATATATGGAAACACAATATTGTCCAAGGAACTCCCAGAAGAAACAGAGTAGTGACAGCTTAAGATCTTTAAAAATATCAAGAGGCCTGGATATCATATCACCTAATAAGCTAGTTGAATGCTGACTTAACTAGATAGTAAATTACAGAAGTCAGTCTGAAGAAATAAATTGGAAGGATGTTTCCCTATTAGAGTCCAAGGTAGAGCATTCTTCATCTTTCAAGAACAATTCTCATTCTTTAGTATGAACTCTAGTACAGCAACAGGCATACATTATGAAAGGAGAATGTGTTCATTTTATCCCTGCAGAAATTTTTTCACAGGCAGTTTTTGATGCATTAGGTACAGTATCTAGGGCATTAATTAATACTTCTAATGACTATAATTGTTAATAAGAACACAGTTAAGCACCAGTATTGACAGATAATTAGGAGGGAGACTTCTACCCACCCAACATTTTGAGGACAATTAGCTGCTGAGGTTATTACTGCCTTGGGCTGAACCAGCAATCTCGTGATATAATGACCTGGGAGAGGGCTGGAGTAGGAAGAAATCATGCTCCTCGCTTGTAACTTGGCTGGCTTTCTAAGATGCTCACCTCTAGAGATCTATTTTGACTCTAAATATTTAATGCAAAATCAACATAGCCAGTTGTTTTCTCTCTTCAAATGTCATTGACTTGAATGTCTAACTTCACTGAACATGAACAGCGGCTCCTAAAGAAACTTTCCAAGATTCTACTCCCAATACTAGTATTTTGACAGTTCAGTGTGACACTTACATAAATTATATGCAGTATTGAGTAGTGGTTATCTGTACCCGGGAGGCACAGAAAAACTAGAGAGTAAGACTCATTACATTAGGTATCCTGGTGAAGAAAATGAGATAAGAAGAAACTTAATGTATGTGCATTTAGATGAACTCACCCTCAAGAAAGTTAGTCTTGCAAGGAAGTCATTCACATAGCTCCCAAGGGGTTTAAGGCTTGGATATGATTTACTCATCCACATTCCTGGAATTTTGACATTCAAAATGCTGCTAACCACTTCTTCAAGATCTGTGGACATCACTACTAGCCCCTGAAACACATTTAACCTTTGGTTAACATGGTAGTATACATTTTGGATGAGCCTTTCTTAAATACCTTCTTCATAAGTATCCCTTGTTTACAATTGTGATTAGTTAAGTTTGAGTAAAAAAAAAACAAAAAAAGAAGAAGATATTTTCTTTTGCTCATAAGTGAGTCACGGAGTCTTTGAACTATTCCTTAGAAAAATATTTTAAAATTCAATCTAATCAAATTTTATGGGAACATTTTTATTTGAGGTATAATTGACATGAAATTATATTAGTTTCAAGTGTACCACATAATCACTCAATATTTCTATATGTTGTGAAATGATCACCACAGTAAGTCTAGTTAACATCTATTGCCCTACAAAATTTTTCTTCTTGTGATGAGGACTTTGGAGACCTACTTTCTGAGCAACTTTCAAATGTGCAATACAGTATTGTTAAGTATAGTCACTGTGCTGTATACCTGACCTCACCAGGACTCATTTAGAGTTGACCGTTGAACAACATGGGGGTTAGGAGTGCCGATCACCCTTGCAGTCGAAAATCCACATAAAACTTAAGTCGGCCTTCTGCATCCATGGGTTCCCAATGGAAAACACAGTTGTCTCTCGAACAACTTATTTAAAAAAACCTACAATTAAGTGGATCTGCACAGTTCAACCCCACATTGTTCACTTGTATTTTATAACTGGAAGTTTGTATCTTTTGATCCCCCTCACCCATTTTTCCTATCCTGGAAAATTTTTGTTTTTTTAAAAAAGGAATTTTATCAGGGAACAGTGTGTATTTCCAGGACCCATCAGTTTCAAGTCACTGAGTTGTTTCAATCTTGTTGTGGAGGGCACAGCTCAGCTCCAAATCTAGTCGCCGTTTTCAATCTAGTTGCAGGGGGCGCAGCCCACCATCTCAAGCAGGAATCGAACCAGCAACCTTGTTGTTAAGAGCATGCACTGTAACAAACAGAGCCACTGGGCTGCCCCAAAATCTTAATCAATAGTTGGCTACTCACTAGCTATTAAATCACAGCCTAATGATGACTTAGTTTACTTGTCTATTAACTGGACAACTAATATATCTCTGTCTTGCCTTCCTAAAAGGAGTGTGATAAATATAAATTTAGGAAAATGATATAAAATGCTTTGAAACATTAAAATATGTTGGATTCCAATTGTGAAATCTAACTGATCTTATCCTATTTTGAATCACTGATGGATAGGTGTCCAAACTCTGAGGCCCTTGAAAAGCCCTGTCTATTTGATCTTGTAACTGGGCCAGTTGCTGAAATCATTTTTGTTTTTTTTATAGTTGACATTGTTATTCCAGTTGTCATATGGAGACGATTTTACAGTAAATTTCATGGATTATACACCCATATTTCATTTGTCTCCTTCCCTAAACCCAGTAAAACAACAGTAAAGGAACTTATTTTTAAAGGCTTAGGCCCATAAGTTCAGAAAGAATAAGAACAGGTACAATGACAACACAATTTTGGGAGCTAGAAAGCATATGGACCATTGGTAGTTGACTTAGTAGTCAAGAGAATCTTGATCTTAAAATATCAGAGGGCGAAACCAACAATGAACTAGATAGACATTGCAGAATACTTCCCCAATACCTGTAACCAGTGGCCCTAGGTGACAGGGAGGAGAGGAGAGTGGTGCTAGATGAAAAAGATTGCTGAAACCTGGTTTAGAATGCAAACGCCTAGGTCTTCTCTCAAAACTGCATATTACCTACCTTGAATGAGACCTGGAAAAAAAAGAAAAAAGAAATCCCTGGAGTGGGGGATGCCAGGCTCAGCTGGGGTCAGAACTGCCATACTGAAATTGGGAATTAAGTGAATGCATGTGTGTTGGAGATCCCTGAAGCCTCTTTTACCTGTTAGCTCCCAGAATGCCAGAAGCCAGGCCTTTATCTGCCAGGAAGGATACAAGAACCAGGTCAAGGAGATACACATGATACTGAATGCTTCTGAGCCAACCAGCCCAGCCAGATTATACCACGCCCTGTCTAGTAGACTCCTCTTTCAACAGTAGCTCACATCCAACCATTTTTCTCTACCTCCAATGCTACTGTAAGAAACCAGCTCAGCTGCACTGGCTCAATCATTTAATTTGTCTTTGCCTACCCTCTTGCTCCCCTATAATCCTTTCTGTACTAGGCAGAGTGAACTTTTTTCTTTTTTAAAAGATTTTATTGGGGAATTGGGGGAGAGGAACAGACAAGTTGCTGTCCTTTTATTTTTCAGTCTAGTTGTGGAGGACGTTGCCTCACTGGCCTATGTTGGTATTATGATCATTGTGCTCTTCCCGGGTGAGGCAGTCAGTCACTGGCCATTGGACGGCTGCTCACGGTGGCTCACAGCGGCTCTCGGCAGCTCATGAAAGCTCACCCCCGCAACCCCCTCCTGCTGGCCAGCCCCACTGCAGCCTACACTGTTGCCGGTGACTCACGGCAACCCAGCTCCAGATCGAACTGTTGTTCACCATCTTAGCTGCAGAGGGCGCAGCATCACTGGCCCTCATGTGGGATCCGAACCAGGACCCTGCTGCTCAGAGCTGGTGTCCCAAGCCAACTCCTAACCAACGTGCCACTCGGCCGGCCCCAGAGTGAACTTTTAGAAATGTAAAATAGATCATTTCACTCCATTGCTTAAAACCCTCTGAAGGTTTCCCTTTACGTTTATACTTTAGAATAAAATTCAAAATCCTAACCAAGGCCGAGAAGCCATCATGAAGCCATGGCTTCCTGTCTGTTTACCATTGCCCTCAAACCCACCCCACTCTAGCCTCACCAGCCTTCCCTATTATGTTCCTGGACCATGCCAAGCCACCTGCTCTCATGGCTTTGCATTTGCTATACTCTCTGTCCAAACATCCCATGGCTTGCCCCTCACATCAGCCTCTGCTCAAGGTTAGGTTCCTCAGAGCAGCTAACCCAGAATGACTGAAACAGTTTCCGACTCATCATTCTCTACCCCATATCCCGTTTTATTTTTTTCCTAAGAATGTACCATTTACCACACACTTAACACTATATATATATATATATATATATATATATATATATATATATATTTATTTTTAGAAATTTGATTTTTTTTAATTGGGGAACAGTGTGTTTATCTAGGACCCATCAGCTCCAAGTCAAGTAGTTGTTTCAATCTAGTTATGGAGGGCGCAACTCAGTGACCCATGTGGGGATCGAACCGGCAACCTTGGTGTTATGAGCACTGCGCTCTTACCAACTGAGCAAACCAGCTGCCCCTATAACTTATTTTTAAATTGATAGTCTCCCTTACTAAAACATAAGCTCTATGAGGGCAGAGGCTTTGTCTTTCTTACTCTTTAACACTTTGTGTCTTCTTAGCATGTATCCTATCTGGCAAACTTTTGCTGTCTAACATACTGTATATTTTTTCACTGTTCATGACCTGCCACCCCCAGAAACCTATATGCTCTTCAAGAGCAGGGTTCTTTTTTTCTATCCTCATAACTAAGAACAATGCTTGCACAGAATCTGTGCCCAATAAACATTTGCTGAGTACATGAATATTTCCTTCAATTTTTTTTCTTTCGGTGAATGTCCCATTACCTTGATTGCTTTTTGAATGTTAATGCATGATTCTCTTATGGTCTGCAACAACTTGTTGAACCGTCCCATCTCTTGGACAAGCACAGTGTTCATGCTCTGGGTGTACGTCGTTGGGTATCTCCTCATTGCAGACTCGATGTCAAAGTCGTTTGGAAGTTTACCCAAGATGTCACCTGCGACCTCATTTACTACTTCATCTGATGATTTTGCACCAGCATCTGCTGAACGAGACTGTAAATAATCCAAACTGTAAATCAGAAATCTTCAGAAAGGCCTAAGAATTGCTGGTAAGGAAAACTTTGGAGGTGAATTTAGGAGTACTACACTGCTCTTTTATCTCTGATTCTTCTCTCCACACAAGATTTATTGAAGTGATGATAATAGGCACAGGGATGGAGTTTCAGAAGAAAATAATTGTTAGTGTGGAGGAAGAAGGGCATATACAGTGTTCAGAAGCAAAAGAGGATCTGGAGGAAGCAAGTAAGCTGCACCCTTAGCCACCAGGGTGGAGGGCTGGAGATGTCGCTGATAGAAGAAGAGAAAGCATTTATGTTGATGGGGGGCCAAGGGATGATGGGCATTAAACCCAGGAGGAGGGAATCTGATCTTGCTTAGAGAAAGGTTGCCACAAAATACAATAACTCTGGTGCCTACTGGTTGCCAAAAGCAGAGATATAGTTTTCTCCTTGAAACAGGAGGGCAAAGAAAATAAGCTCATCTCCTCTAAACAGTTGGAAGAGTTATGGGGAAAAGGCAGACTCTAGTGATTCACACTGAAAGCAAGAAAGGGGAGTTTCATTTCAATGCTTACTTTTTATGTCTGAGTGGCACTGTGTAAATTAATCTATATTTTCTGGAAAAATGCTTTAAATACTCAGAATAAATAAATGTCTCTCTCTCTCTCTCTCTCTCTCTCTCTCTCTCTCTCTCTCTCTCTCTCTGTGTGTGTGTGTGTGTGCGCGCGCGTGTGTTTATGTGTTGAGAGAGAACAAGCACTATTAGAATATCAATGAATATATCTCATACTTTGCCAGTCCTAGGAAACTGTGTTTAGTCTTATTTCAAATTTTATAGTACTTGGTTTTTATATTGATTCTATTCTATACATACTGACTTTTACTTAAGTTTCTAGTGAGATGTTTAATGCTACTTACAACATACTACCATAAGATCCTATGAAGTTGCATAACAAAAATCAAAGCTTGGTGTTAATTAATGCTAGTAAGCAAAGGGATATGGAAATATATTAATCCTTTATTATGATCCCAAATGCTGGGTTTATAACTAAATATATAAAACAAATTAGAGAACAAAGAAAATAATGAATATTTGGACAAAACTAGTGAAGTATCTAGTTCTATTGCATTTAAAGACTCATGCTGATTTCTATTTGTATTTTGGTGTGTGTACAAGGTATTATAAGCTCATTAAAAACATTCCTATTTTCTAACAAGAGCTGTGCAAACAAACAAACAAACAAACGAAAGACCCCCAAAAAACAAAAACAAATACCAGGCCTGTTGCCCTTCAAAAATGTAAGAAAATATTTTAGTAACACAAACATTCCCTTTACCTATTTCTCACAAAACAAAATCACATAATTGAGGTGATGTTTTGAAAGTAATATCCAACTGATGTTGAGAATTAAGAGCAGGAGGGTGTTCTCTGTTTGTAATTGTTTCACTTAGCTTGTTTCTTTTTACCACCTTAGTTTTCACAAATGTCGTTTGAAATCTTATAAGGTTTATTTTCCTTTTATTAAACAAATAAAGATAAGTAGGAGCCATTTTCAAGGAGACATCACAGAGTTTAACCTTTTCGTTTCTAGTTATAATGTTTTAAGTTGCAATAATTTTCCTATTCAAGAGAGTCAAGTCTGGCTGTAGCATAAGCAAAAGAGCTCTGCAAAAGTAACATTCTAACTCCAATATTTCTCCCTCTAATTTTATTTTTTTTAATTTTATTTCATTTTTTTAAAAGATTTTTTTAATTGGGAAATTGGGGGGGGAGGGGAACAGTGTTGGGGAATTGGGGAAGGGGAACAGCCAACTTGTTGTCCTTCAGTCTTAGTTGTAGAGGGCGCAGCTATCTCAGCTCCAAGTCCAGTCACCATCCAGCCACCTGTCGGCAGCTCACGGCTGCTCAGCTCAACATGCCATGTTCAATCTTAGTTGCTGGGGTAGGGGGGTGGGGGGCAGGGTGCAGCCCACCATCCCATGCAGGAGTTGAACCAGCAACCCTGTTGTTAGGAGCATGTGCTCTCACCAGCTGCGCCATCCTGCCACCTGTTGGTAGCTCAGTGGCAGATCAGCGGCAGCTCAGCTCACTGGCTCATGTGGGAATCGAACCGGTGACCCTGTTGCTCATAGCTCATGCTCTTAACCAACTGAGCCACTTGGCCAGCCCATCCCTCTAATTTTAAATGATGTTTTAGTTAAATACATAATGTAAAAGTCTTGTCATTGTTAACTGACTCTCCAAACTCTGTAGTTCTGGCTTCTTTGCCTCTGAATTGTGGTAAACCCAACGTGGAATCACTGAACTACTGCCTACCCATTACTGTAATTGTACTTGCCAATCTGAGTTTGAGGATATTGAAAGAGGCTGTTTAATTACATACAGAGAAGATACCCCATGTGTATTTAAACTTGTTTGGTTCTGAGTCATTTTCTGTTGAAATGAGCCCACTGTTTTATGTATTCTGTAATGTAGCACATCCCATTAAGTTTAAATAAAGCCAAGAGACGCTATAAATGTCCTGTTGTCAGAATATTGTATATTACATGCGTTTAATGTTCCTAAAGGTCTATGTCCAGGCAATACTTGATTTTAGTGCTATTAACAAGTAAAATGCCTTTCTGCCTTATTAGAAAATGTCATCTCACAGTACAGAGCTAAGAGTTCTGTGAACTCTTCCTCAATGATAGCACACCATTTTATCCTCCTAGCTTGGTTCTTCTAGCCTTTTCTTTTTTATTTTTCAGCATGTCTATCATCAGTTATCTGTCATTGAGGTCCTATCCCATTTTTAGAATCTAGAAAGAGAGTATAGCATGGTGGTTCAGAACACAGGTTTTGGAGCCAAACTAGTGGGAGTCACACTGCTTGACTGAGTTCTGGCTTAAAATTATACCAGCTGACTTTGTAGAAGCTGCTTAGTCTTTCTGTGTCTCAGTTTCCTAGCTGTAAAATGAAAACAATTAGTCCCTACCTGATAGGATTCCATAAGCATTACAGAGTTATACATAAGGCACTGAGAATAATGTTAGTATACTGTAAGCACTACATAATATTAACTATTATCATTATTACTCCAAGATTCCATAAAAATATAAAAGACCAGATAGGATTCAGTTCATGGGATAATTTGTTTAACTGAAGAATCATCCTTAACCTACTAAAATTTCAATCACGAAGGGAACTCTTGCCATTTGGACTAATTTGATTTAAAAAATGCAACAAACAAAACAGCCAATCACATCTTCTAAACAGAGAACAATGCAAGATCTTAATAGACAACCAAGATTGAATGTTTTTGCTCACAGGTACAAACGCATGCCCATTGCATGCTGAATTCTGAGGCCTCGGAAGTTAACTCTCACACATGCTCCTACCTTTACTCTCTCACCAGCTTAGCTGCATGTCTACCAAGAGGCAACTGTATTTTTCTCCTAAACCCTTTTTTATTCATTTTGTACTAACTATTGCAATTGTATACTTTAAATACTATGTAATCTGATAAAATACTGATTTGAAAGAAGCTGTTTTTATGTAAACTAGGTGAAATGTTCTGGAATATTTGATAAAGATAGGTCATTTTAAAAGTTGCTATTGCATTAGTAAGACACTAGAAAATAGGCAAAATTCTAGATGGATTCTGGCATTAAACTGCTTCCCAAATATCTCTGAAATTCTTCTTCCATTTTAAAGGAATTAAAAAGGGATGTAGCATGTCATGTATTTGGGCATGGTTTGTGCAAGAAAGGCAAAATGGAACCCCTAGCAGCAGAATGCTATCAAACAGATACTCAGAAATACTCAGAGATACTTGAATGTTCCTCAAAGACCTCCTAGCAGCGGAATGATACCCAAAGAGTCTTTCAAATCAACAGATTAATAGATTAATAATAAGAATTAAAAAACCATACATATATGTACTTTGTTTAAATCCATAATTAAGGTATGTGT